CGATAGCGATTCGTTATCTTGCTAATAGCTATATAGTTAGGAACTGTAAAATTAGTTCTTTTAGAAAAACTACTAACGTGGAAGCTCACTATTTCTTATAAAGGTAAAAGAAACTTGTATCCAAACTAATATTGTAAATAAAAAAGTAACTCTCTATCTGTCTGTCTTTTCTTCACGCCTAAACTACTGAACCTATTTGTGTGAAATTTGGTACAGACATAGTTTGGAACTCGAGAAAGTAAAGTTATAAAGTAAAGTAAAGTATAGGATAGTTTTTGTACTAAAAATCTGCAAGATGTCATTATTCCAGGCGAATGAAGTCGCGAGCAAAAGCTAGTACTTAATTATTTAAAAAAAACATTGTCCGAATACTGCACCAATTTTACCTTCCCATGACTAATACTTTAATGTTCAGTGAACTTAGTTTATATGTGTTCAAGCATTTTGCTTATCGGTCGTAACTTATTTTGTGAGCCGTTAGTGTTGGGAATTAGTACAAAAGTAGTGAAATTACGTGTTTATAAACTGATTATAAGCACGGAACTTACAACACTAAAAGAATTCTAGGAGTTCTATAACACTTAGAATGCCTTTAAACAGTTTAGTGTTAGAATTAGGTTAAAACGTAATAAACGAGGTATTATAAAAAAGTATTAAAGTACTTAAAAAGTATTAATTTATTGAACGAATTGTTAGGTTAGGTTAGGTTAGTAGGTTTGTGAAATTCAATTAGATTCGTTACATTGTCCTAAAAAAACTCTTTGGTGGAAAAAGGCCCTAATGTTATATCCTAACTTCTACTTATTTTCTAAGACTATTTATGTCAGTAAATATAAAAATATTTAAAGTAAAAGTAACCGATAAAGAACTAGTATTTTCTTTATTTATATATTAATTATATGCTGCAAAATAAAATTGATGTCCATAATCCTAGGTTCCCGGAATTTTTCAGTGGTTTTAAATTTTGAAGTCCTTCCGTTTGTTACACAATTAGTTTTTTTTATTTTGTATATGTTTTAGTATGGCAGAGACGGTCGTCTCTGTTTTTCCTTTTTACTTTTATTTATTATAATGAAAATTGGAAACTGTCCCTTAACACATACATCGTCTCTCAAGTTCAATTTCTAGGTGCATTTATGATTAATAATCTAGCGGTCGCCCGCGGTTCCGGGTGTGTAGATGTCGATTTTACACTTTCTTAAGGTTTACTCTATTTACAAACCTTCTCGGAACGTCTAGGAATAATTCAAGACCAAAATTGGCCCAATCATTGTTGATCGGAAACATTACAACTAAGAGTGGCATTGATTTTTATACATATATGTAGATAACCCCAATAATATATTTTCCTAGGAACCGATAGCCATAGATGTGACTAGATTAATAAAGATTTCGAAGAAGGCAATGCTAAAAATGTAACTTTATATCACTTATTCCCCAAAGGAATAAGCAGGAATTCATTTTTTTCATCTATTCTTGTTATAACATAATTTTACTACGAAATTTATAAAAGTTTCCAAAAACAATTGGTACACATACTCTGTTGTCACTTTCATACATTTCAAAGTTCAAAAACTGACTGTATTGTTCAAACTAAATTGAACTTAATGTTCGTACATTAAACCCCTTTAATTGAAAGCAATTCTAAGTAACTTTTCATCGGTTTTCCAAATCAAATGTAAATCATTAAGATCTGAATTGGTTTGAACTAACTAGATGTGTGAAGTTCGTTAGATTGATTGTCTACTGGTTTTGTCCAAACTTCTGACTGTAGAACGCACGGTCATTGACCCTTTCCTAATAGCGCTGCATGTAAATTGAGCGGACGAAATGATCGAGTAAAAACCTGAAATACGAGTATCAAGAAATTACAGGTGTACTGTGAACACAAAAAGTTGTTGGGGATTTATTTTATAGAAATGTTTGCTCAATTTGCTCCATTGTATTTATTTTATGTAACTAGTCAACGAAATTTGAGAAAAATACTGAAAAATCCAATACCCAGGAGCATATTTACAACTATTTGATAATTCATTATACAAAGTATCCGTGAGGCAACAATGGAATTGCTATAGCTTTGATCATTGTTATCACCATCATCCCATAATTTCAGTTTAAAATTACTACTACTACTTTTAATTCCACTGCCGAGCAAAGGCCTATCCTCACACGTAGACGGTTTGAGCATTAAAATATGCTAGCCTATGTCTATACCAAATTTCATCCAGATCCGTTTGGCCGTTTTGGCGTGATTGAGTAACAAACATCCAAACATCGTAACTTTCGCATTTATAATATTAGTAAGATATTTATCAAGAGCACTACGTTTGTCAATTCAATTCTTGTCTAAACCAGCTTAAAAAGTACATATTAATAACTCGGAAATAGTCAGATATTCACATATACCTATATATTATTTTGCCAGGTTGCTCAAACCGTGTCCTAACACATGAAGAGCGGCCGTTACAACAACGAGATTGAGTTCTTAGTAAATTAGATATACGAGTAATATGTTCAACTGCGTGCGTGCTTTACAATAATGATTTTTGATAAAATAACTAAAGTAAACAATTTTGATATTTATTTAATTTTTGAAATAAATAATAAAATGAAATTGAATTTTCTAAAATATTTTATAGAACTCGATAACTTTTAAAATGTAATACAACACTAGTCTTCAAAGTTCTCATCCTCTTTCAAAATTATTACCAACAAGTATTAACTAACAGATTTTGAATCTTTAGAAATGTTTCGCAGTTGGATTAATTTAAGTCTGTTGTTAACAGCTGTAGGTACTCAATAGAAAAAAACATTTACATTTATTTTCTTCTCAATTCTATTGAGGTCTGTACAAATATTTTCTTAAATGCATAAAAATGCTGGTATTTTTGTTTGAATTCTTTAAATAATGGAAAATATAAAAATATGCGTGAGGCATTATGTCGTCCGCGCCCGCAAGTACCAATGTGATTTTTCCGAGTTGTATGTACTTTGTAAGATTATTCAGATATCATTAATACACGGTGTGTGAGAACATGGAGAGAAAACCTATGATTTCTTATTATAAGTCAGAAATCGCCAATCTACTTAGAGCAAACACGTAATTAACGCACAAACCTTCTTCGAGGGGGCGATAATCTTGTGCAGCATAGTAACCAGACATAGTCCGAATCAGTCATCGTATTGGTACGCTGTATATTTCATGATGAAACTACTAGAGAGAAAAAAGAAACTATCATAATTATAACACATTTTTGTTAATGAGTGACATATGTAAACGAATATTCTAGTTTGAAAACGATTGATTTACGTGACTGTATCATACATACCGACGAGTTTCTTGGCACTATCGGTACCATTCAACCTTAATGTCCTAATCTCGTGTCATAGAAACCATCAGCTTCCAATCAAGTCTATCAAAACTATCCCTGTAAGCAATGTTTGGATCTCTAAGGCCGCGCTCATTGGAACTTGCAATGTAATCAAGCGTTGTTATGCAACTATTACACCGCCGATTAGCGTGTGTGTATGTAGGGGAGCCGATAAATGCCTCTAAGTGTAGATTGGATATTTGCAATGATGTTTCGTAAAATGTTATACAAACTTCTTGGTGTTGAGTATTTTTGCAAGTCTCACTAAGCATAATATTATGGCATGGCATAATGGCACGGCATGGGGTGATTGCTTCTTCAATTGATTAATGTTAATTTTAATATAACTGGCTTTTGGTACAGACTTTTTAATTGTCTGGCCAGAAAATGATACTTATTAGGATGTATGTTGATGAGTATGGGAGTTTTACGGGCCAAGAGTTTTATTTTACAGAAAACAAAATATTTGTATGTTTAACAAATAGCTGTTCAAAGTTTGGGCGCGATGCCATTGTGTTGGTAACGTGTTTTATTACCTAAAGAATGATTCGTGCTAAATCATCCCAACCACAACAATTTTCTTCTAATAAAAAGGTAAAAATAAATAAATATAGGTTTCCTTTCTGCCATTGGAAATAGAATCACATGTTCTTGTTGGCCGCTGGATGAGTAATTTGTGTACACGACCGTAGAATAAAAAAGAAAAACAAAACGAAATAAAAAACCCGGATTTTCAATTTCGTTTTAAGCCAACGATGCCGTAGTGAAAATAGCGCTAGATACAACGTAGTGGAATGACAAACTAAACTCAAAGCGAATGTAAGAAATAACATCGGTATACCGGTGTCATGATAAACACATTTTTAACAGCAAACAACTTTCGTAAATCACCTTTAAAAAGGTGTGAATCTAAAAGGAATCAGTCTTGGTTTGTATTTGGATTATCGTGGTGAAACTTGACGTGCAGTCAATTAGTAGGGCAGGGTGTTCGCCGGGGCGCGTTCCTAATTTGTCAGTGACAACGTCGGAAGTTTAACAAGCCTAGTTTTAACAATATCAACCACTATAGCGCCATTTAGAAAACATTAAATCAAATTGTGCCATCACGGATTTATGGAGCCATAATATTTATAGCATAAGTTTCCATTACATCAATTGTTTATTAGGTATTTAGTCACACCGTTTTAGCTCCATTTCGAATCGGGATTCAATTCCCTATTGTATTGTCGTTTACATTTTCGAAGTTGAAGTTACTGTATTTAGATGACACATTCATTTTCAAATTCGCCGATAAGGGACTCTGAGAGTTTATTTTGTTCATACAGTCAGCGCTTGGTCTCTTGTATGGAATAAATTGGTAACTTTATACATAATTTCTACTCCGAATGCTTTTGTCCCTAGACTTCCAGTTCTCTGAAAACTTTCCAACGGTATTAGTTAAATTAATTCTATGAGGTATGTTTTATTATCCTCTCTAGATAAATGTTATATCTGCTTTACCTACTTATGTAGTATGTCTGATAAAACTTATTAGAATGTTACTATAACTTAAGCGGTTTGTTTTGAAACTTGAAAACTTTTAAGTTTGGGAGAGGCGTACTTTGGCAAGAATAGGTCGGCCCGACCAGCATGATGCGACGTCCTCACAGAATACTGGCGACAAAAAACTTGCTAGCGTTGTGTTTCACCGTGTGGATGAGGTAACGGAAACCCAATCCTTCCCTACCTCCATCCTAAATATCTAAATCCTCAATGTTGAAATTCCTAAACATCCCTAAAAGGCCACCAAACCACTTATAACTTGATCCTACTATCCATACTATCCATGCTAGCAACGGCAGTGCCATTTGTTCCCTATCAGGTGAGTCGCCTGCGCGTTTGCCAACGTATCGCATAAAAATCATTTTAAACTAGTCCTTTATTATAAGGGTTTGTATAATTCTCATGCTCTTTTTAATTTCAAATAAATCCAGAGTATTTAGGAACTAACTTTTGAGGTATGTATTACTTTTTTTAATATGATTTTTTAGTACGGCAAAAGTGCTGTTGCATTATTCGTATGGTAAGCAATCAGCGCCGCCCATGGACGCTCGCACCACTAGAGGTGTTACAATTACTTTGCCGGCCTTTTGGGGATTTAGGGTTTGGGGGAGAGAAAGGAGGATTGGGCCTCCGGTAACCTCACTTACAGTGCGAGACACAACGCTGCAGTTGTTTCATGTCGGTTTTCTGTGAGGCAGTGGTATCACACCGGTCAAGTCGACCTATTCGTGCCGAAGCTTAGCTCTCCCGCACTTAAAAGATCCTCATTATCAGTTACGAATTAATTATAAATTTGCACATTATTACGTAATCTCTTCGATCGGAAACAACATATTTATTGCAGGGTTCATTATTAAGTTTAATTAATTAAGGATTACCAAATAGTTAATCTGAGTTCTAGTTGTGGTGTTATTAAACTAAATATTTGTATACCGTAATATAATATTTGTACACATAATAATCATATTTGAAATTATTTCTGTTCGTGATATTGACATAATTAGTTTTAGATAATGTTATTTTTTACCAATGATTTCGATAGATTTGATGGCTACTTCTCCCTAGACTTGTTGAGTCGGTTCAACAAATACTATGTGATCTACATATTTATTTGCACATATTCTAGGCACAATTAATAAGAATTGAGTTTCGCCATCATTTGCTTTCTAGAGCCAGGAGAGCACCGCATCGTTTTCAAGGGGAAAAGCTAAGTGCGCGAGATATCGAATGTAAGTTATCTAAGTAGATAGGAAGAAAGCCAAGAAAAACTTCACCCTACAGCTAATTGGTCAGAATAGATAGTTGTCCCAGCAGCGAACTGTTAATACTGATCATGATGCAGATATTCAAAAGATCTAAGTTTTCAATCCTTTATGCTACTTGCAAATCCTCTTTACGCTCCAGCCGCAGAAGTAGGCGACGCTCCGGGCGTCGAGGATCGAACGACGATATCCAGCCACCGTAAACCAGACTAGACAGTACGATACATAGCGTTGTGCGCGCGTCTCAAAGGGCTAGTAGACCACTCAATAGGGCTGATGTTCAGCCAGGTTTGCGAGGCAAGAGCAATAAGGTACCGAAGCCTAGGCATGGAGCAGGAGAGAGAACAGGGTCGTTTGTAGTCAGTAAGAGTCTGAAACTCCCTTCCGCCTTCCGGCCGAGAGGAAGTCATTGATGATTTTCACTTCACCAAAAATCCTCGAAGCTACTTATACAAAATCATATTAAATCAAACTTCCTTACAAGAAAAAAACATACTTAGCAAAAGAAATGTTGGTTATATAAAAATAATAACAGTATACGTATGTCGTTTTTGACCTGATTACGTAATATTTTAGTTTCGTGTGTCGCGTGCGACGGAACTAATTTAATAAAAACAACACAGTTTATTAAAGGGTATTTTGGCATTAACGTTTAGATTCATGTCACACACTAACCGCCTTAAGCTAAGCACCTTATCGCATTACATGTGATAATAGTTTTAACTCCCTGTGAGACAATGCTTTCATGTAATACAACGGCTGCATTCTGCAACGTATAACATCATTTTCCAATCTTCTGACATGGCAAAATTCTGCGGTATATAGCGTATGCTTCTAGACTCAAGTTGAAGAACAGAATTAAATGTTTTTCTCTTTCGATAGTGATATTATGTCTGTCAAAAATAAAAGTAAAAAAATAATGACACATTTCCATATGAGAAACATCTGAGTAACGCAGCATAAAGTCGAAAATTTTTATTAAAATCACGTTTTAAAAAGTGTTAAAAAAGATATTTACAATTCTGAGTTCATGTATAGCGAAATTATTTGTATAAAATCTCAGTTACAAAATATTCGGAATCAATTTGTTTTTTGTACGGAGCACGCAACGGGTTTGACCGTCGATATAGCTGGCCGTTCACAGGTTAAAACTATTACGGCCATGTATAGGAGGACGGTGGTTGAAATATAAAAAAAATGTAAACTTTTTTTACATTTATGCGCTGCCCATGTTATGAATTGTTTACATTTCGTTTTTGGTGGCGTTATTCAAATACAATTGCAGTTATATGATTTTACGTAGGGTTTGTTTTTTTTAATTAAAAAATCGGAAATTTAAACAAAAAAAAAAAAATATTTAGCATACCTATTGATGTAGGTACCCCCAGAATGACTTTTGCCAACTATTCAACCCGGACTTTCGGGGAATCGAAGTGAACTGGTAGTCAAAGGTGTACATATATTATAAATAAGGTATAATAATACATTTCAGTTTTCGTTAGCTTTGAATCCTTATATATTATAAGTAGGTCGGTCTCTTTACAGGCTAAACTTCGTGTTACTACAGAAATATGTCGAAAACTGAAATGAAAAAGGAAAAATATATGAAATTATAATTTTTAACATTGCCTTTGATTAACCTAAAAATAACATAGCACGAGAGAAATATTGCGTAACGAACTATCGACCAATAACGTAGTCACTTTTCAAATCAGTAAAATAACAAAAGATCTCCTCCAATCGTGCCTAGCTTCGTTAAAATTTACAATCTTGTACTAAAATTAATTTAAAACTTAAACTGAAATTACCTGTAAAACAAAATCAATACAACGGGTTATTGAAATTGGTAACTTTGAACTAAATTGTGAAATATTATTTCAATGTTGTTATTCTCTATTAGCTTTAAGTCTGATACTACCATTAGTCTAGTTGTTGGAACACCAATTCTAGGTAATATAACAGGAAATTTATGATCTAGAACGAACTGTGCGTAATATCGAAATTGATTTAAAAAATATCTATGTAGTAGCTTTATTGAAAAACTTGTATAAAAATTTTAGCTGTGTCTACCTATATAAAATTCAAAAGGCTTTTTTTCGGAGACGAAAATCACTAAATCGTTTCTTTTGCCCTGGGTGAGGGAGAAGGAGTGTTACTGACTAAAATCAACCCGTTCCTCCTCCTGAAGAAATCCAAAACTATGTATGTCAAGATTTTGAATGTCTGGTCTATGTTTCGTATGAAATTTTCGCCTGTCCCATTAGGAATAGGTAATGGAACATTTCTGATTTAATAAAAAAAAAACACATTTTTACCACACTAAACAGACTTAACAATCGGCTAGGCGCCGAGATTGTATTTTCAAGTATATAAAAATGAGTTGCTGTTCATTAGTCTCGCTAAAACTCGAGAACGGCTGGTACGTTTTGGTTAATATTGTTCTTAAAATATTCGTTGACGTCTAGGGACGGTTTAAAAGGTAAGAACATGAAGTTACAGAGTTAGTTAGTTTTCAAATAAAGTATACCATATCTTATCGTCTTTACTGTTTTGGTACAGTCTCTAGATAATTAAGTTTTAGTTATAATCGCTCATCTTACGCGTGTTGGTTCACAATTCTAACCTAACCTAACCAAATGTGTCAAGAAGCATCAGCTATGATCCTAGAACTAAAGTTAACACAATTGCGTGGCATTTATCTGAACATGAAAGTTTTCATCCTTGTATTTCCAATTTTTCATTCAGTTGTATCGAAAGTCACAACGAACTGTATTTTAGGGGTCGAGAGAAAACTAGAACATAAAATCCATCTTAGATGTTTAGGGGCCCAAAATTAAGCTTATTTAGGGGCCCAGTACAGCCCCACACATTTATAGGGGGCTTTGGGGCTGAGAGGTGGACTAACGCAATTCAAATGGAGTGTTAACTAGCTTAGTTGAGAAATAAAATTGCAAACATAAAAAGCAGCCAATCAAAGCTTAAGAAGCCGTTAAGAATATTATCCTATCTCTAGAACGAGCACGCCAAGCACATCTTAACTTTAAAATGCAGTTGGTCCAAGCAACTGTCTTTTAGTCACGATCTACTTCACTACTCACCTGTTTAAAAAACCAAAACATTTATTGGCATGCCCCAGTGATTTCAGTGCGGGTTACGTTAAGGCTTATAAAAGTAAAATGGCGGCTGACAGATTTGATTAACGATGCCTTAAAGGATTATTGAGTTAAGTTACTCTACCAAAAATATACCACGAATTAATAATATTGGTGGAATGAAATAAGTAAAGGATTTAACATGTATGTTACATGACTGTTTTTGTTATTGCGATTTACTGCAAAAAGGTTTTATTGCCATTTTAATGTTTATATAGTAGTAATTCTGTATTGATTGAGTTGATACAATTTGAATGGTGCTATCTGAGTTTCACTTACGACAGGTTATTGCCTCTGGGCTGGGGCCGCGATGAGTCATTGCGCCCCGTCTGTAGTGGTCCATTGGCTCTTTGAGGCGCGCCGTACGCTCGGGTCTGGTTCTGGTCGGGCGGCGAGCTACCCTTACTCACCGTTCGCAGACCTGCGCTTACGGTGACCGGAGATCATCTCTCGATCACGTCTCTAGCCCTGGGTGGGGCAATAGGGAATGACAGAGTCTTACTGACTAAAAATCACCCAGTCCTATCTCCTGCTGCAGGTAGACGCCTCGATATACGTCTTATATGCTTGCCCCAAAACCCCTTGAATCTTAGTAGTGGTAAAAGTTCATAGCAGAAACAAATTTAGCGACCTATAAGTTTTAAGTCTATATCTGAGTTTGTTTCGGCATTTTTCTCAGACTAGTCAGATAGGAAGTGCCGGTGTCATCTAGTTTTTAACATATTATTTTGACGTGTAAAAGTGCTGTTTGGCCTATTTTTAATAATAAATTCATAAGACCTCATACAAACTAGTTGTTTAGCAACACATGCAACCAAGTTTGTGAAAAGCAAACCGATATCACATCGCAAATTCGAAAAGCACTCGAATGAAATGCAAGCGAATATGGCCAGCCAATGATCAGTTGCAAACACGGCGTCGCTACATTTCACCTAGTGACCAATTATGACCTGTCTGACGTATGTCATGCTTATATCGTCCCCACCTAATTACCGCCATTATGCGATTTACAAAGACATTAATTAAATGGCAATGGAATTCAAACTTTAAACTTTTGTTTGTTGAAGTCAAAATGAATTGACATAATATAATTTAGTAGGTATTCACGGAAAATGTTATATTGTGTCGTGTTTAGTTGGTTTGTTATTATATCATTTCAAATCATTAATTTGGATTGGGTTGTTAAGTGCACTCCTACTAGTATTTTTTTTCGTGTTTTCTGCTGTTAAACGTTTTAACCAGTAGCTACAAATATTTGTATAAATTTTATCTGCCTATCATATTTGGATTAGACAAAAAACTAAGAATCGTTGCTTTAATTAAAGTATTTGTACCCATTTAAAGAACTATTATTTTTAAACAAAGAATAAGAATCTTATTCTTAAATATTACTCGTTATCATCAGTGTGTACATGTCGTGAACCACTAATTTGTTCTATGAATTTCGTAAGACACGATGTTATCGCATTATGTAAGCATACCACAATTTATAATTAAGTAACATATTCTAGCGTCTAGTTCACTTTACAATTTAGGTACCTATGTACTTCAAAAACTGATTTTGTTATATAAATGAAACTTACCTTAATCATGCCTTTGTGTTATTTAACACGATTTGACAACACGGTTTTTCCTAAATAAATTTTAAGAAGAACTTAAAAAACTTATTTCTTAAAAATAAATCTAGTAGGCCCCATTTATTAGAGCAACCCTCATTTAATTTTATTGAAAATAAAGACTAACGTGATTTATTTGAGTAAAGCTCTACTAGTTTCAAGACACAACGGGACTCTTAGTCATGAGCGGCGTGCGCGTCGCGGCTACGTCGCGTTACCGACGTCAGTCGCGTGCGCTAGTCGAGACTAGTAGAGCCTTTCTAGTCGTTATTTTTAATAAATTCAGTATGTATCATGATAGTTATATTATAACCCTCATCATCATCATAGCCTATAAGTGCCCACTGCTGAGCAAAGGCCTCTTCTCATACGGAGAAGGTTAGAGCATTAATCACCACGCTTGCTCAATGCGGGTTGGCGATTTCACGATGTTTACCTTCACCGTATGTCAGTGGTGTCTAAATAATCATAGAAAGTACATATAACTAGGAAAAAGTCACATTGGTACTTGCCAGGTTTCGAACCCACACCCTCATGCATGAGAATCGGGCTCCTTAACCTCTGGGCCACCACGACACTTATAACCCTCGTTATACCTATAACCCTCGTTTACACCAAATCCAGAAAGTTATTATATGTAGGTTACTTTAAGACGCAAACAATGTTTTAGTTAGCATCGTAGTCGGAATTCATCTAGAATCCTCACTAGGGAATGGGTTACCGATAGTAGTTAAATATAAAAGTAATATACTGAACACTTACAAACATTTAAAACATTCTGGAACATTTTAATCAGGCGCCTACATGGTAAATCAATAACATCCCTTTGAATAAACATTCTTTACAAAATTGGTTTCAATTTAATTAAAATTTTCTCTCGTGTTGTTCATAGCATACCGTACACGATTTCCCAAAAGGTAAAAACATCAACATTTACAGAAATGTGCTGCTTATATTTATTTGTATCTTTATAGGTTAACTAACTCTTACCCATAACATTCATCATCAACAGCCTATAAGTGCCCACGGCTGAGCAAAAGTCTCTTTCCACGCGGAGAAGTTATGAGCATTATTCACCACGCTTGCCCAAGGTGGATTGGCGATTTCAAACTTATTGGCGATTAGAAATTATAAGTCGAGGTTTCCTTACGATGTTTTCCTTCACCTGTTGTCAGTGGTGTCTATAATAATTATAGAAAGTACATATCACTTGGAAAAGGTCACATAGGTAGTTGCCAGGTTTCGAACCCTCATGCATGACACACCTTAACCTCCGAGCAGCCACGACATTCCCGGGTCAACATGATCCATGACATCACTTGCCGAACAACTTGAGAAGAAACTGAGACTTTTATTGGTTTTTTATGTCATAGGTCGGCAAACGAGCAAACGGATTCCCTGATGGTAAGCAATCAGCGTCGCCCATGGACACCCGCAACGCCGGAGGAGTTACGAGTCCGTTGTCGACCTTTTGGGGATTAGGGGTTTGGAGCTTTTGGGAAAGGGAACGGATTGGTGTAGGGGAAGGATTGGGTCTCCGTTAACCCCACTCACACCGCGAAACGCAACTCTTTGGTTATTTCACGCCGGTTTTCTGTGAGGCCGTGGTATCACTCCGGTCGAGCCGACCGAAGCATGGCTCTCCCACACTTGAAAAAAGCAAACATTTTTTTGGTTGCAAAGAGCAAACGTATCACAACACAAGCAAACGAAAAATATTTTATAGTTCAATTATTTATTTGATCACTTAGTCGCGAAAGCAAACTTTATACTTTTCATAATAATACCATCTTTTAGTATAAAAACTGTTCTGTGAAACCATGATATACCTATTCTACAAAATAAAAGACACGAAACGAATGATTAAGTGCTGTAGTTCGTGAAAAGTCGTAAAAAACATTGAGTTTTTATTCCGATACAGTTTTCTAGGAAGCCAAATACAGTTGTGGTATGTTTTAGTTTGTGATACTTTCGGTTTAAATGTCATTTTTATTTTTAAAGTAATATATACCAAGTTTAAGAATCACGTTAACTATTCATATATGTTTCGAAGAATTTTTTTTAGTATAAAACATATGGTTGGTCAGATCTATGGCATTAATTTAAGGTTTTATAATCTATACTAATATTATAAAGAGGTAAAATTTGTAAGTTTGTATGTTTGCAAGCTTGTAAGTTTGTATGTAGGGGGTAATCTTTGGAACCGCTGGTCGGATATCCAAAATTCTTACACTGATAGCTACAATATTCCTGAGTGCTATAGGCATAAAACATCACGCTACGATCAAATGGAGCCGAGCAGCGGGTGACACCGCGCGAAAGTAGCTAGTTATTTATACTTAAGAAATCGAGAGAACGATTCCGCATTATATAGTATCATATCTGTGATAACCGGAAGAAATGTATTGATACTGAAATTGACTGGAGATTTGTTCTTGTTAGCTATGCCTTACAATGACTCGACATACAAAGTTTACACTATTTAAAAATATCATTTTTGGCTTAAAATAAAATGAATTATAATAAAAGCAAATGTGCAAAAGTGAATTTTATAAAACATTCTTGAATAGCCAAGTAATTGTCGTTCTAAGTCAAAACCCTTGGGAGTCGTTGTACCTTTAAAAATGATTTAAATTTAACGAAAACCCTCGAATAAATAAAAACAAGTTTCTTCAAAATTACTTATTCATCAATTCAGTTTTCTCCATAGCTACCTACCTATGTATTTAGATTTTTTGCTGAAGTGGTTTTACTTAAATCTAGGCACTTAAGACGGCTTAAGAATAAAAAATAATTTGTAGCATCTACCAGACATAATCACATTTGGTTCGCGACTTTTTCTCTAAAAAGGATGGTCCACCACCCCTCCGAAACCTCCTTCGTAACTCTCACCCTCCAAATTCTGGTTTAGAGGCTATCTGGAGCTATCTATGGTATATTCTAATTTTATATTACCTTTGCAAGTATTCTTGGAAACATTGAAGTCAATAGCAATTTTACCGACCGTCCAGCTAGATTGCAAAATTATACTAAATTTGAGATTAGTATTAGAGGAATTATAATGTACTATAAAGAGTTTTGCTAGGGACTGCTAGGTATGTTAGTCTGTATCTTGTAAAACTAAGTAGCAATTAATGCAATCTTGAAATGGAATCCATGATTTTTAGTTTATATTGCCACGCGTATGACTGTGACTGTTAGCGCTTGTTTCACCATCTTCCCCTTTCACATAAATAAAGTCGATGACCTTATGTGGCGGGTTATTTGGACAAATTGCGTTCTAAATTTTAATTTATTGTTCATATTATAATTTTTGCATTGTTAAACAGGCCTTAACATTATATTTCAGAGACTAATTCATAAAATTAATAATGTTTGGTATATATATGTATATATTATTACATTATTTAACATAGTCACTTCATAGTATAAAACAAAGTCGCTGTCTCTGTCCCTATCCCTATATCACTATGTGTGTTCAAATTTTAAAAACTACACCACTGATTTGTTGCATTTGTTTTAATACATAGTGGTTGAAGAGGATACATACATATGTACATATGATACATACATATGTTGTAGGTATATGTAGGTATACATATGTATGTATGACTTTAGAAACCGGCGCGGGTCGCTAGTAAGAAATAAACTGTAAAAAATAAAATGTACTTATATTGTTTCAGATGAACCAGGTTTCAGCGCGCCGATAGCGAATGTGACCGCGCCACTCGGTCGGGAGGCAATACTCGCGTGCACCGTACACAACCTCTCCACGTACAAGGTCCGTAACATTGACTCCGATAATTATATACACCGGTAAACAAGTGCATATACATATATAGAAGGGTATATACATATAAGGGTATATAAACATTATACATATCAATAATGCAACCTTTACTTGTAACAAGAAGCATTTGTATGTATAATTCAACATATTTGTTTTTACATTGATTTGTGATAGGGTGGCAAATGAATAGACGGATTACCTGGTTTTTTTATGTGAAAGGTAGGCAAACGAGCAAGCGAATTACCTGATGGTAAGCAGTCAGCGTTGCCCATGTACACCCGCAACGTCGGATGAGTTGCGAGTGCGTTATCGAACTTTCAGGGATTAGGGATTTGATGATTTTGGGAAAGGGAACGGATTGGGTAAGCAATCGCCTCAACTAAAGGAGTTAAATATATTTTTTAAGGGGTAGGTCGGCAAGCGAGCTGCGAGTGCGTTGCCAGCCTTTTAAGGGTTTCAGATATTTAAGGATTTAAGGTTTTTAAGCAACTTTTAGAATATTTATTTAAAATACTCTAAAATTTCCATTTCAATTGAAAATTATAGAGAAATCTTATTATTTTTAAATGTAAAAATAGGGGTCCGACGGCAATTTAGATACCGTTTCAAGAACGACTTCTTTCTGTATCAGACCTTTAGTCCATCCACCTATTTACGTAATATTATTGTTATCAATCAGGTAGATAATAACGATATTTAATTGCTTTAAATACTTATTAAATCCATCATTCCCACAATGAGTGGTAGGATTACTTAAATTAAGTACTTTAAAATTTCGCCAATTACAACATTAATCCCAAATTGTGAAATATAAAAATATATTAACTGGGACCATATTGGGAATCGAAGTTGGAAATACGGTAAAAATATTTTATAGTAATATCAAATATATTACGATAAAAATCTTTTTTGAAAAATGAATGAATGCATTTTAGTCTTTGGTTTCAGTGATTTTTTCTGTTTGATATTAACGATATGGTATTTGCAATAAAAACTTGACAGTATGGTTGGTGCAGTGACTGGGAAAGTGACTGCCGTGCAACGTGTTGCGGGTTTTTACAACAACAACTCTTTCTGTTATTTATAAATTGTTGTTCCGGGTCTGAGTGATTTGTGTGTGAAATTGTATGTTTATAATCCACGACACAGAAGGAAATTAAAAGAGGAGCAATGTTTATTAAAAAAAAAACAATAACAATAGTCTTTATGAAAACAAAATAATTAATTTGTGTTTTCAATTCACTCATTGGTCGATCGGATTACAACAGCGCTGAGCGCCTTCCCATACTGATCCTATACAAATAACTCAGTGAGAGTTAACGCAATACATTGGTGTACACAATTGTACTGGGGACTTTTACCATATAGTAATACGAAATTCGTGCATAATTTGCAAGATGTCCACTAAATTAATACTAATATGTATTTTAATATAAATAATAACAGGAACAAATAAACAAATAAAAAAAATAGTTTATTTTAAAGCTTATTTTTTATTTATGCGAACTGTAAAAAATATTAATTTACTCAGGAAAATATGTCATTGCATTGCATAATAGTAAGAAATTTATAACAGTCAGATCGTTAAATAATTTTTTTAATATGAACTAACTCATTAGAATTTATTTTAAATATCTGAGAAATTTGAACGGTTTTAAAAATTGAGAAAAATTAATTTAATGTGAATTTTCAACAAACATTATTTGAATAAAATATGTAGGTAATAATGTTAATAGGTGTATGACTGTTTGCTTAACGTGATAATGTCAATATGTGGTTTGAAGGATTTCTGTGAATTGGTAACGACCGGGCGATACCTTCCTCCACTCCTGCTTTACCTCAGTGTAATAAAAAATGAATGTTCCAAAATGGGGATCCTACTATTTATTTCATTTCATATCTTTTAGATGAATTCAAAATATTAAACAAGTATTTTTCTATAATCATAAATCGATGTGAAATTACACGTATTAATTTTACTTAGCGATATAAAATCGCGACATTCCATTCCTAAATTCGTCAACGAAATAAAAAAAGGTTTTATATTTTGTCATGCTATAATTGATGGACGAAATGGATGTTTGATTTTCAGACCTTCTTACCAACCCTATAATGGCAGTGCGAAGCTAGAGTAACCTTTTTTTTTGATAACTGGGGGAACCTTCAAAAGGCGCCTAGCTTTTTGGGGAGAAAGACTAGGGAGTGTGGGATTCTTACCTCACGAAAACCACCTTCATCACCTGTAAGGGGCACCTGGTCCTCTACAAGAGACCTGCTCCGGAGCCCCCACGGTGAAACGCCTGTGACGGCACATCCCTCGAGCACGAGCCTCGCTGTGTACGGCGGTACGTGACCACTGTACCACCGTCTTCCTTGGGACCACTGAATGAGCACCTAGAGTCCCCCTAGCTAGAGTAGCCTAAAGAAGTAATATGTTACAAGGCAATTTTATATAATAAAGTAAAACACAATCTTTGACCCTATTCATTCAAGTATAGGTATTTTAAATTATATTTGGTCAGCACAAGCTCAAACTAACGATAACTGTTGGAGTTTATTTTACAACACATCTCATAATACTTTTCATCTCACACGAAAAATAAAAACTACAAAACTACACCGACATACTTGCAGGCGAAGCGCTAATGCTAAATAAAAGACGACTTACAGAATTTAGATCTTACGTGATCTCAGCCTTAAACATGCTGCAAGCGCTTTACTACAGATTTCCTCTTAAAACTTGCTGCATTTGTTAAGAAGACTGTCTGAACTTTTAAAAGAGTATATAATTATAAAAATAACGTCTCTAGTACAAAATACAGAGAAAATTTTAAGAAAAATGTTATTGCTTACGTCTTTGCTATGAGTACGTTGTCAAGTAGTTAATGTAAGGGTGTTAATAGTCACTAAAAATAGAATTTCTTAGTAATGTTAATGTAATTCCTAAGTAACCTTTTAAATTATTAATGAGTAGTAGAGAGGACTATTCTTAGCCAAGTCTAACCGACACCTCGAGACGACGGCGACGTGATAGGCTGTGACAACACCATCTCAATTTAATCTTAATTGCCTTAAGAATAGATACACAAGAGTGCTTTTATGCTAGTGAGCAGCTCCCATCGAACATTGAAGTAAATTCGCGCCTAATTTAGAAGTGTTCTCAATTAGATGACACGACACATTAATTGAATAGTAAATTAAGCTAATTTCCTCAGTCTGTTTCCACAATCACAAGGATGTTTAAAGATAGATCAGCTCTTCATCTGAATGATCTCTACATTATTTTTATATGAAGAATGTTTTGTACGAAACGTTAAAATGATTTACTCCAACCAACAGTATCGTATTTCAACATTGCCTAACAAAACTCCTAAAAATGTCATTCGAAACTTTATGAAAGTTTTTCAATCGACGTTCGCGTATGAGCGCCCAGCAGTAGCAGCTACGGGAATGTCGCATTACCAGTAGTTTATCGAAACTTATTTAGATTTTTATAACAGGGTTTTGTGGCCGTAATGGTGTTTTAAAATGGTTATAAATATTTGGTAATAGGTCGCGTGGTTGAGGGTAGACACGCAGACCATTCTCACAATCCACACGCACGTGATATCGAGGAGTCGAAGAGTGGGGGTGACTCACAGCGACCACCGGACCTGGTTCCTGCACATTCGGGAGCTGCGGGAGACCGACAGAGGATGGTACATGTGCCAGATAAATACCGACCCTATGAAATCACAACTCGGATACCTAGACATCGTCGGTAAGTAATCATGAGTCATAAATTCTACCTTCCTTTCACTCCTATTTATTAAGGTTTATGTTACCGCCTTATTATATAGAAACCCAATACATTTTATAAGAAAACTTTTCAGACAGTAGCTGTTCTAAATATAGTAGTTGATCTAAGAAACAATAGCCTTTGTACTATACTGTGTACAATTATTTGGATTAAATCTGAAATTGAAATTTGTTCTGATTAAAATTTTGTATACGATTTTTTTAACAAAATTGTTTATTTTATGAAAGTAAATCCTATTTACATGAGATTAAGTAAATTTGAATTTTCAATCGAGAATACACTTGATTTTTCCATTCTTATGTTTATATAAGTTTAAGAACGAATAAATTAAAGACTAATTCATATTTTACTATATGCATCCATCAGTACCACCTGACATTCTCGATCGAGGCACGAGCACGGACCAGACAGTTCGGGAAGGCGCTTCGATAAATTTAACATGTGCTGCCACGGGATCGCCGCATCCGCAAATTACTTGGCGAAGAGAACATTCCAAACCTATTACCATCTCAGACGGAATGCAAGGTAAATACTGTTTGTACATAAGCGGCATTGGATGTTGTAATACAATATAGGTTGATTTTCGTCTAAGGATAGAAGGTAAATTGATTATGAATAATAAGATGTCGTGGTGGCCTGGAGGCTAAGGCGCCTCTTCTCATGCATGAGGGTTCGAAACCTGGCAAGTACTAATGTTACTTTTTCCGAGTTATATGTACTTCCTGTGATTATTAAGACACTACTGACATACGGTGAATGAAAACATCATGAAGAAACCTGGACTTATAAATTATAATTATAAGTTTGGAATCGCCAATCATCCTTGAGCAAGCGTGGTGGTTAATGCTCAAACCTTCGCCATGTAAGAAGACGCCTTTGCTGAGCAGTGGGCACGTATAGACTGATGAAGATGATGATGAAGAATAGGAATAAACTTAGTTCTATGTATCAAATATAATATGAAAGTCGTCAAAATTGGAAATTTAAATCAATACACTACTTGGTACTAACATTTCTAAATACATAGATATAGAAAAAACCTACATATCCATTCTGAAATATGAATTGTAAATACCTACTTTGTCTTTTATCGTTTATGCCACGTATCGAAACCGCTATCAACCACCGATCAAATTTTCAACAGTGCACTTAAGAGCGTTTACGTACCCCGGGTTTCCATACAAACTCCCAAGTACAAAATTATGGTAACGACTGAACTGTTTTTAATGACACTTGGTACTCATACGCAATCAAATACATGAATATATGTAAAAAGTTATTGAAGTACAGTTTCGAAATTGATAATTTTAAGTTTTCATTCAAACTTAAAATCGCGTATCTGTTCTATTTTACGGGATAGGCCGGTCGCTCGTATTACTAGAGGAGTACAAGTGCCTTTTTTGTCTCTGGAAAATCTTCAAATTACCTCTCCCGCCCAGGATAAGGCGAGAGAAAGTGTCAAAATCTTACTGACTAAAAACCCCCCCATTCCTTCTCCTGCTTTGGACTGAGGCCGCGGTGACTTAATTCGGTTAACCGGCAACCCTGACTGAACATCAACCCTGGGGCACCGTCTGTGGTGGTCTATTGGCTGTTTGACGCACGCGCGGAACGCTACGCGCCATCCGCCCGGGTCTGGATCTATTTGGACGGCGAGCTATCCTTACTGGCCGTCCGCAGACCCACACTTACGGTGGCCGGAGATCGTCTCTCGAGTTACAAGTGCCTTGCCGGCCTTTTGTTGGTTATTAGGAATTTAAGATGATGGATTAGGACTCCTGTAACCTCATTCACATGGCAAAACACGTCTGTATTCTGTGACGTTGTGGTATTACTCTGGTTGGGCTGCCCCACTCGTGCCGAAGCATGCTCGGTTCCACACACTGCTTGGCTTCTATTGGTCGTAGTGTGAAGTTAAGCCTAAAAGACTTCCAGTTTTCTTTGCTAAAAGAACAATATAATACAAAAAGCTTTATCCAATTTAAACCAGCAGTTCTAGAGATAAGCACGTTTAAACCGTTCATAATATTAGAATAGATTAACTTTTTAGACAATGATGTATTCCGTATGAATATAAAATTTCATTAAAATCGGTATAGTAGTTTTTATTGTTATGGGGTCAGAAGTGAGACGATTGAGCAAGAATCTTAATAAAACTAATTTATTTCTAATAATGTAAAAGCATTGACATGATAAAACTTTACTTTTTTGTTGGACATAGAGACACGACCATAGATTATAATGTAAGCAGTTTTAAATATAAAATTTAATACTTAACATTTTTTATGATTTCGGACTTGATAGTTTATATGAAAACGGGAACCGCGTACAAGCTCTTAACTGCAATCTAATTCAAGTGTAGGTACATGTATGTACGTTGATCGTGTATCGTTACACCAATGTTCAGGGCATGTCTTACATAATACGAACAGAGAACAGTTTACTTTGCATCTGTTGTGCATAGTTTAACTCGGTTTGTACTTAGTAATTTGTATTTAACTACTATAGTACTAACATCGTTTGAAGCGGATTGTAATAACAGTATAGTGCATTTTAGAGGTTGGTTCAATATTTTGATGATGGAGATATTTATGTCATAAATAAGCAAACATCGACTGCACGGTTGGCGCGGTGGCTGGGCAACTGGCTGCCGCGCAACGTGTTGTGGTTTTGATTCCCGCACGGAACAACTATTTGTGTGATCCACAAATTCTTGTAACGGGTCTGGGTGAAACTGTATGTTTGTTACTCACAACACAGGAAAGTCCGAGTGCAAGTCAATGTGTATTTTTAAATAGTGCGATATTCGTAGATATAGGTGTACGTTCATTGTTAGCACCACCCTATATCTTCGAATAGGTGTCACATGTTCTTACCAACGTTGAAACTACAGACGATGGCTTACAGATTGTAATATTTTTTAAACATCAATAAGTAGATGCGAATTTATTGCAGTGACATCATGGAAATTACGTGTGATTAGATTCTGCCAGTGACTAAATAATTATTATGACTTTACATCATTTTCTAAATACCATAGTATCATAGTAATACTTCGTCTTCTAGGTAGTACGCCCACCTGTCTTTTCTCTCTTTTTCTACCATATTTATCGTCCTTTATTAATGTGACCATATCGTCCACAATGTTGTAGAGTTATTTAACAATATAGAAAAAATGGTTAAATATTTTTTTATTACAAAATTAAAGGCACTTTGCACAATTAAATAAGTTTCAGTCTGGCGCTCTGTCCTCTAGCGGAACTATTAAGTAACTACTTCTAAAGTGCAGATTCTTATGGAAAAGAAATATCAAGAATGATAACAGTATTTAACAAAGTTTCAATTCTAATCCTAAAGAAATATTATAGTAGGTATATAAAATACAATAGCTAGAAAAATCTATTCTATATACAAATAATAATGTTTTTGTTGTAGTGACGTCATTTGAAGGTCCGGAGCTGAATATAAGTCGGGTGACCAGACAACACGCGGGGGCTTATCTCTGCATTGCTTCAAACGGAGTGCCACCTACAGTTAGCAAAAGGATAATGCTTACAGTACAGTGTAAGTATCAATAGAATTCATTAAATTATATTGCGACATGACTGATGTCCTCATTCACCCATCATTACCGACCATAATTCCGTTACTTCACTACATGGTATTAAACAAAGTCCCTATATCTTTATGTTCGCTTAAATCTTTACAACATCGCAACGGATTTTGATGCAGTTCGTTTAATAGATAGAGTGATGGAGGAGGGAGCTTTATATGTATAGAATCTATTAAATAGTAAAGAAATTAAGTATCAATATTAGAACAACCCGATTTGGATCGCTAGTAAAAACTAAATGAAAGTATTTATGAACTTGTTTAGAAAAAATCTAATTCTATTACGGTTTATTAGAATTATACAGATTTTGAGGTTATTTCATGTTAGGTAACGAAGAGGATAGTTTTGTTCTGCCTGCATTGGGGTTCGAGTGCTCTAAAAAGGCATCTCAGAGTTGAAAATTGCGTTTTCAATTTTAGGACTTGTTAGTTAGTAGGTAATAGTGTTTAGAATTAAGTACTCAGCACCCACATTGGAAAGTGGTAATTCACCCAAATTATGTTGTAAACATTTTGTCAAAATGTAATGAATTAAAAAAAACGTTAAACAAATATTTTTGTTTAATTAATTTGTAGCATTGTAAAAAATAAAATAAAATATAGGTTCCCGTTGTAGCTTATATTAATCCAATGTCGCCTTTAATAACCAAAATAAACATGAAACTATAAAATAGACTAATAAATAATATATTTTTCCAGTGCTTGTGTATTTTTCCAGTAAAATCTATTTCAATATTCAAAACGTAGGTAACGTTTTTTCCGTACTATGACATATTTCAATAAAATGTTACGAACGAAAACATTACACGTAAAATGTGGTTTTTGAATATTAACTTTATTAACACATGAATAAAAACGTTATCAGAGTTTAAATTAAATATATTTTTTAAATATTCTGTTTGTGGGGATTAATTATTTGAGTGTTCAATATGGTTTTTATTTAACAAAAAAGTGTTCTCATTAATAGCATATACTTAGTAAATGTATTGTTACAAACTAAAACACGCATTTAATCACTTTGTCCTGGTTACCTAATGAGCCCAAACTAGGAGTCCAAGGTCCATCTCCAAATTCATATTCAGACGAGATCGATGGTAACAAAATTTGTATTGGTCATCTAATCTACATAATTAATATAAGCTATAAGACTAACATTGTGAGAGACAAGAGCCTGAAGTAGGTTTTTGACAAACCTGTGTTACAGGTCTCCGGTAGCTAGTATAACAAACTTATAAATAGCGGTAAACAGAGCTATATTAATTTTAAAACAAACAACCAAAAAAAAAAGAATTGAACAATAATAGAAAAACCATTAGTGAATAGTATTAGCCAGAGTTTGTAGAGAAACACTTGTATATAATGATGTATAATTAAGCAATAATAAGAACGATATGCTACTGATTCTTCGACTTTACCACATAGTTCATTACCCATAGTTTTAGGTAAAATATTTTAATTATATAAACGATAAGGTAACTTATACAAAATGTAAGTTCATTTGTGGGCATCTCAAAGAGCTATCAGACTACCACAAATGGGGACCATTGGGGACAATGCCGAGTCGGGTGCAAGTGCAATGAAGTACCGCAGCCCCGTTCAGAGCAAAAGAAACGTGGTAGTTTTCAGTTAGTAAAAGTCTTATATCTTATGGTCTTAAGGCGCCCGGTTCTCATACATAAGGGTGCGTGTTAGTACCAATGTGACTTTTCCCGAGTTATATGTACTTTCTATGATTATTTAGACACCACTGACATACTGTGATTAATGCTCAAACCTTCTCCGTATGAGAAGAGGCCTTTGCTCAGCAGTGGGCACATAAAGGCTGATGATGATAATGATGAAAATTCTTATAACTACTCCCTACGCCTCCCTCGCCCCACCAGAAAAGACGGAAGAATTTTGATAATTTACCCCCCTAAAAATATGCTTGGAAATGTGGTGTAGATAGTTTATATCCTAAAAAAATTTACAAGATTTACATATTTGTAGGTAGGTAATACAAACGATTAATTTAATGTAATCTGATAAAAATAAAACTGTAAAATGGTAAATTTAATTATACTATGTCCAATGAATGCGAACCAAGTTTATGTAACATTCTGTCACAAGGTTTTAAGCTATAATTTTAATTGAATTGAATCTTAGTTTAGATGTAATAAGTATTAAATATGTATGAATTTGTCTTGTTCTAGAATACTAATGACAGGGCTTATAACCCTATTATTATTAGCGCTTTGACAGTTTGTCATTGGGTAGGTACGATATAGGATTGTTCATTGATATAATTATTTACCTATGTATAATGAGTAAGTAGGTAGATGTAATCAGCTAATTGTATATTGAATGTTGTCACGCATTAAAGCCAGTCACTTACTGCTACACTTAGAGGCATGTAAATATTACTTAAAGTATTTTTAATAAGGATTTTGTTTCGCAAATAATACTAATAAGTTACCTGGAGTAAGTTCTCTTAAATGAGTACGTTGATTAGTTACGTCCCCTGAAAATGAAGAGTTTTTTTCTAAACCGGGAACAACTCCAGATAGATTAACTGCTTTTAAAGATATTTAAATAGAGCATTCCATATCTGTGGCATCAACATCTAAATTGGCGTATTGACTTAGAAAAATCCTAAACCCAAGAGCTACTATATCTTCCTCCAAAACTTTCACCACTAAGCCTAAAGCCCCAGCCGTTTTACGACGAAATCGCGATGGTTATTTTTTTGCTGGTAAGCAATCGACCCCACCAAGGAGACCAGCAACACTAGAGGGGTTGCAAGTGCGTTGCTGGCACTATAAGAGGTTTCCAGGATTTAAGGATTAGGGACGGATGGGGGGAGGGTAAGGATTCAAACCTTCGGTAACCTTACGCACACGGCAAAACACAACGCTGAGGTTGTTTCACGCCGATCTACCCGGCCCATTCCTACAAACATTCTTTACAAGACCTACATACTATATTGTATAGTCTTGGTATCATTGAACATTTGTAATTTACATATTGTTATTCTCTCCTAGTCCCTCCAGTGATAACGATAAGGAATCAGTTGGTGGGGGCAGCCCTAGGCACGGAGCTTGTACTGGAATGCGAGACTGAAGCGTATCCTAAACCCGTCAGCTATTGGAGCAGAGATAATGGCGAGATCGTTCCAGTTGGTAAGATTTTATATATTACATCTTATTTAAGACCTTGTCGAAGTGGTTGGGCTTCCGACTGCAGCACAATGTGTCGGCGGTTCGGTTAGTTCTCGCACGGGATATCGCTTCGTGCGATCTACAAAATGTTGATTTGGGCGTGATGTGTATACAAAATTTTATGTTTTAAATGCACCTTCAATACAGGAAAAAAACTTAATATTGTGCAAGGTTCTTTGAAGGAAAGACATTTTTTATTTCCCAATAATTTCTTGTTTGGTTGGGAAATAAAAAGTCCATGATTAGTATTACTTATACTGTTATTTTATTATTTACGTGTCGAACACGAGAATTTTAAATTACATTTTACATTTTAAAAACTCAACCACTACTTTACTACCTTACTACTAACATAAGAAATATCCAAATAGATCCATTGTGAACAACAAAAAAATACAAACTAAATCCAACGTTTCAAGCCTTTAAAAAAAACTTTCATTGTATATATAAAAAAAGATTAAAAAAAAAACTTTCATTGTACTAACATATCAAATGAAAGAGGTTTTATTATCTTAATAATCCGTAGATCTATAAACGCTCAGGAGAATCGCCCTAATGTATCTTTACCCGCATCGGGCTTAGGCAGTTAGGCCGCATACTTTTGCGCTCCGATATACATACACACATCCGATATACATACAGACGTACAAATATATACATATTTGTACGTCTCATTTAGTGCCCAATTAAAAGGAATCCTTGTCCAGATATAGTCCCTTGAAATGTGGACATTAACTTAGTGTTTATACCTAAAATAATGTATTCCAGCTTTTACGTACCTCAGTCTGTTCCCATTGTTGGTACAAAATTAACAAATCCTTTGTTTACGCTCACACGTTCATTACTTTTACATTTTCATTATGAGATAATGCTTTAGTTTATTATTTTTGTTATATTATGTTATGTTTTATACTTTTTCTGTTACGTTCTGTAGTTTGTTTGAAGTTATGTGATTGTTTTTGTTATCTTAAAAATACAGAAGTTTTAAATTGCCAACGAATAACCTACATCTACTTATTCTAATATTAAAATTGTCTCCGTATTTTGAGATGCTAAGTTTAAGAGTATTGATTTTCGAACATTTTATTTTTATAATTTTAACACACACTAGAAAAGATCTCTAGGCAATTTTAGATCTCTAAAGAAATTGTTTTATTTTTTCAAACTCCACCCAAATATCTTACTTATTAAAAAGAAGGTAAATTAATATAAATTTAAACAAAGATATTTAACTATACATTAACAAATATCCTTAAAATTAGAATTCCGTTGACATTCAATGTAATGATTGTCCTTGTCAATTAATACTAGTGAAACCACTAACAGCAATTTAGGTGTAATCTAAAACATACACAGTCCATCGACAGCTTCTGTCCACACTGTAAAATTGAATTTGAATTCTATAGCAATACCGATAGATTTGAGAATAAAAAGACAGAAGCTAAAAAATCATAGTCGGTATGGTTTGAACGGACATTATAGATTTTTTTGAAATCGCAAGACGACCTAATGTGTTTTCGTTTCATCTAAGATGAGCTTAAATAAACCCATCTTAAAAGTACTTCTAACTTTTTCTTCTTCGTGAATCAAATAGATTTATTATGTTTTTATTATTAGACACCTTATAAACACCTAACTATACAACTATAATAGTCCACTGTACACCACTATATGTATATATGAGACAATCACCTGAAATTGTAAACCCCTGTTACAGATTTACCTTCTAGAAATAAGTCTCACACTAGTTATGCTATATTTACACGCCGAAAATAAAAGATATATATTTTCTGCCTGATAAATTGGTTGTTTGAAAACAATAAAGAAACTCTGCGTGATCCTTCGACACAATGGCGGGAGAGGTTGATACTCGATACACGTCAATTTTTGTTAGGGATGGCCATTAATTCAGTACTGGACGAATTTTGCTCTTTGATACTAAAATTGAACTTTTTTAAAGATGATGTTTGGTTTGAGCGTTAACTAAATCCTAAAATAACTCGACTAAAAGCTCATACGGTTTTGGACATTCGAGTTTTGAGGTAAACTAAGATATGTAATTAGTAAAGTGGACGAGACAAATTTTGTGTTGGAAAATGTTAACTAATTAATTTCGGACTTGCGTTGACCGAAAGTTTTTAGGTCGTTACGACAGACAGTAATATCATCGGTTTTATCTTCAGCTTTCACTCGAAATATGGTCGCCTGTCACATGGAGTCAAAATTCAGGCGAATTAAATAAGTAGCTAGTTTTAATATTTTTGGATATCCTGTGGATATTTATTTATATGTGTCAATACAAAAATATGAACGTGGCCTAAGAATTGACGTTAGGTATATACGTCAGTTGACAATCGCATTTTATTTCCCTCCGAGAATAAATTGCAGCTAGGTACTAAGAGTAAGATTTAAAATTAACACGAAACGTTTAGGTCAGTATGTTTAAAGGGACGAGACTTCTTGTTTCTTTACCAAACCTTGCAAGGAAAAAGCTTGAAGTAGACAGATGGATCACATTAACACTGAAGTGGTTTAAGATAAAACTAGGTAACCTTGCAAAACTCTCAGATGACACGCGCACTGTAACCTTTGACCTGCACCGTATTCGCTTTGCAACATCGCGTGACTCCAACAAGATTCGTACCCGAATGTGCGAAACATTCTTACTCTTATACACAACCTTACACTGTTTATTCAGGTTCTATGTTTAGCAAGATATATGCAGCAGAATTAACATATTGCATTTTCACTTGGCTTATCTTCAAAGGTTAGTTCAGAACTGAAGTTCATGTTCGTGCTGTCCCTGCAACTTAGGGGAGGTTGCTACCCACCGATTGTTTTAAAACTAAGAGGAATTTCCAGTTTAGATTCACATCGATTCAGCGCACTGCGCTTATTTCCTAGGTCAGCAGTGTACGCTAGACATGTCTGATATTATTAAAGACTTTTATGTTTAGAATTCTATGTATTTTACTCACGCGTTCGCTTTCTTCTGTGAGCATCGGTAAATTTACAAGATATGACGTTAATATTAACAGACGCAGTTTCGAGTAAAATGTTATATATTCTATCTGTAAGTAGTAAATCATATAACTAATACCCGTCAACTTACGATAAGCATTACTCCAATTCAAGACTTCTAAAAGTAATTCCCGAAATTGACGTCTATACCCCCAAATACGGTATTTTATTAAAAAAGATGGACCATAAATATTTCTACTTTGGCAAGAAGTACTACACTGAGCCACATATACGCCTGTATTTTACATATAATGGAATTATTTCAGTGAAATTATTCTTTCTCTTTTTCTCCGACATTACTAAAGTAATACGAAGGCTTAGCATTCCGACGAAATTTTTAAAATTATTCGTGTTGTAGGTCAAGTGTTTTGGTTTATGTATAAATATTACACGTCAAGTGAATAATATAGTTTTAATAAAAATACAATACATTTCAAAATTTTAAATTTTAGCAAATTTAGTTTAGTATTGTTGCGTCTTTTTAATGTTATTTATCTTTTATCTATATCTATAAGCGAAGACTTTATATGAGCTAATTTGAGATATTATTGAGGATGCTTTGGGTCGAGAAGAGAAAAGAAAATGATACACATAACATACATTTAATTTGACCCTACAGGTCACCTGGATCCTACCAAATCACAAAATTATATTAAGTATGAGCTGATCTACAAGTCTGTGTTTGTCAAAGTATGGTAATCCCTTGAGAGTTAAACCTGTACTGATGAAATGTTAATAATGTTTGGTGCTTGCATATCATCCGCTTAGGGGCCAGCTTTAAGTATCAAAGCTTCTAGAATACTCTAAGATCGTTGCTCGAACTGTACGGACAAACGGTACAAGAATCGAGTTGCACACAAATCTGTTGTAACTACAGACGCAGGATTCAATGGATACCGCAAACTATCTGGCAGAGAGCGATATTGGTTACTCTACACCTTCTTGACACACTTTGGATAGGGTAGTTGATAGATTCTGATTCACTTTTAAATTGGAATCGAAAAACGTGTACTAAAATTGTCGAATACCTACATTACTTACATACATTTACTTATTATTTTTTAAATTTATAATACGAATGTTGTATTCGTAAAACATACAATACTTTTGTGGTTTCGAGTAAATTTTGTATACATATGATTAGAAATTCCGCTTTCGTCGTTTTATCTTTTGATACGTAGTACTAAGTTTTTTTTTATCAAAAGCCTTTTATTGCATTAATTATTCAAAAGAGTATCCAAGGTTTCAAATAAATGATTCCATATGATTAACGCCAACGTAAACTCAGGGAACAATAGAAATCGGTGTCCATACAATTCTGTGGTCGTTCTGGCATGTTCTGTGTACAGAATTTTGTGGTTGAAACATTACTACCCGTGATATAAAGGTCACGAAATCGATTGATATTCACTGTCAAATTAACAATATAATTATAACTACAAAAATATTTTTTATTATAAGTAAGTTGAGCATGATACGTACATAAAATAAAATGTCAAAAGTTGAACATGGTTCGAGTACGTGATGTCAGTATTTCATAACATTTCGTTGCGTAAAAGTTACAAAGGCGTTCATTTTTACTAGCTACCTATTTCCTGGTCCAATGGAGATTAAACTCTATCAATATATTTTTAAATTCTATTATCTTTACACTCTATTAAATAAAATCCTGGATTAGTCTAGAGTAATTAAGTATTACTCTAGACTTACCCATATTCCACGCCAAAACTTTGCAGATAGAGTAGAAGAAAATCGAAATAGAAATATATATATACGAGAGATTTACGAGGATTTTTTATGTTTTGGTATTTGTGAACAATTTTTTTTATTAAATATTATTTATTATTTTTTGCATATGAACAAATTATTGAAACAAACAATGAAACAATGAATTTATTTTTGCAAATAGGCCATAAAACGGCACTTTTACACGTCAATTTATATGTGAAAAACTAGATGAAGCCGGCATTTCCTATCTGACTACTCTGAGAAGAAATGCCGAAACAAACTCAGAGGTCAGTCTCTTTTCAAGTCCAGACAATGTAAAAATAACATAATGTGAGAGAATCGTG